GCTTATTTAAAGACACAGTTATACATAGCGCTTATACATGCCTGTGACATGAATCCACAGTAACACTGAGGAAGGACACGAGTCTTAAAGTCGTAGGGGAAGCTTCATCTGACAAATGTAAAGTCATGTAAAGTCAAACAGAGTATGACAGATGACAGATAAACTCGCCATGTTGATTTCACTCTTTCACACATATTTTGAGTACCATACAAGCTGTGGTTAAAAGCTTTTGTTTGACTAATAATAATGCTCATATAAGAAACATAAGAAACAAGAGCAGGCTTTGGTTCTTCACTTTAATGAGCGCAGATCAATCAATGCATGGAGTTTATTGCCGCCTCTGGTGACAGACTCGCATAGCTCAAGATTCAGGCAGTCCCTCTTCTGTCTCTGATTTGTACTGCATGGCGACTGTTGCTCTGTACATAATTAAATTACAGATAAAAAGAGCTTTGTTTTTCATGACAGACTCGCATAGCTCAAGATTCAGGCAGTCCCTCTTCTGTCTCTGATTTGTACTGCATGGCGACTGTTGCTCTGTACATAATTAAATTACAGATAAAAAGAACTTTGTTTTTCATGTTACTCTGACAATTAGTGGAGTTAAACAGCCTTGCTGTCTAAACTGACAGATCACTGCAACATGCTTTCACCGACACAAATGAGGTGTCATTGTCTTTCCTCTAGACAAACAACACTGTGGGAGTGACCTGCCACAATAGACGTTTGAAATTGATGCACATGTTAAATTTCATTAATTGTTCTTTTTGAAAAGGGTAAAAGGAGATATGATTAAATTCCTTCAGTTCGCTTTAGCCTGAAAAGTAATGGTTGCTTTTTGAAAATGTGTACAGTCTAAAGGGCAATCTATAATTGAAAAAGCCCGTAGGCCATTTGTGGTAGTGGGCCAAAAAATCTCAGAAATCTCTCTCTCTCTCTCTCTCTATATATATATATATATGTGTGTGTGTGTGTATTGTTGTGAGACTGGATATATTGGATTTGTATACACAATATATAATTGGATTTATTTCATTTATTTATTAACACTATTTATTTATATATAAGTAAAATATATACATATGCAATTAGTAAGAATATGTATTTTTTCATAAATAAAATATGAATATACAATACTGTTCAAAAGTTTGTAATATTTATGCATTTATTAAATCAAATAAATACAATGAAAACAGTAATACTGTGAAATACAATTGAAATTTTAATTTATTCCTGTGATGACAAAGCTGAATTTTCAACAGCCATTACTCTAGTCTTCAGTGTCACATGATCTTTCAGAAGTCATTCTAATGCTGATTTGGTGCTCAAGTAATATTTATTCTTATTATTAATGTTGAAAACAGTTGTTGAAAACTGAACAGATTTTTTTTGTAACAATAATGTAAAATTTAATGTAATGTATTTAATAATTAAATCACATCAATTTACACTGCCAGGTCTGTTAAGAAGCAAAAAAAAAAGTATCCTAATTATTTTACAATTTTGAACATGTCTTACAACACATAACCAGTACAGGTCTAGATCTGTGATTACACCAACAGACAATGTAAGGTGAATGTTAGTCAGCCTGCAACAATCCCTGAGTAAACACCCTTGATTTTGTCTGGATCTGTTGGGACACTATATTATTTACCAATAAAAAGGACTAAAAAAGTCCCGCAAGTGCTCACCAAGCCCATTCGTCCACCAAGCTTTCAGTCCCTCTGGATATTAAATCTCTGGGTGGTTTTCCCTTCAATCCCTCAAAGAATCCAGACAACTCGGCTGTGCTCCACCCAGCCTGAGTGAAGGGATCAGACCGACAGCCTGCCGCTCTGAAGGTGCTCCACTCTCATTATAAACAAGTGGAAAATATATATTATAGTATTTAATAGTATACTTTTGGCCTGGCCATCCATTTATTTCGGCTCAGTTGTTTAGCTGCTGCAGATTGACTGAGAAACTTAAAAAAAAAAACATGTGCTCTCCTGAAGGAAAATAACAGAATAGAATGGCATGTTATTGCCTGCTGATGAATCTAGATCTAGTCTATGCTTTTTGTGCTGTGAAAAACGCCACAAATAAATGCCAAAAAGATCAGACATAATAAGAACACCTTGAACAAGTCATGTCCTATTTTTTTTTTTCACGCCTTCTTTGTTGGTTACAAGCACTTGAGTGTAGGCAGACATTTATAAATGTGGTCAATTCGCTCGCTTGAAGTGGTATCCCTTGAGGGTCGTCATGTTTGCCACAGTTTATTGGAATAAAACAATTGCTTTTAAGTCCCAAATAAACATTTGTATGACCTCATAGTGGTGCATGATCACCACTTGAACAATGTAGGTCATGTAGTCTAGTACACTTCACCCAACCTCTGCCATTTTATTTCAAATGAATTTTGGTAAAATAACAATAATGGTTAATGTTATCACTGAAGGATGGTGATTCTTCTCAGGGAAGACGCACTAAAGACCTACTCAGAATGAAATATCCTCTAAAATGATTAGCTCTTTGTGAGGGCTCAGCTTAGAGCTCTATGTGGAGTCAGGTATAATGTCGCTTACACAAACCATCATCTCCACATGACTACTACAGTGTAATCCCAATTCAAACAAAAGAATTCAATTAACTGATGTCATGGCAACATTAAGCTGATGAGGAGGACTCACTAATGTGGCTGCTAAATGCTTATTCTGAGTTGCAATGTGAAGATTTGGGGATTTTTTTTTTCTTCAGTTAAACAAAAATGAGGAAAAGTGCAATTAGTATGTGAACAACCTGGAAAGCTTGGCGCTATCACGCGAGACTCAGCTGAATGAGAATGTTAATGAACATTTTGTTGATTATAAATATTCAAACATGAATTCATACATGCGTACATGGATCGGTTTAATCCAGCTCAGACGATGATATTCATATGAGCAAAACAAATGCTGAATATCTTGTCATTTTCACACTCATGTGGGTTGATTTGAACTATTTTAAGATATAGGCAACTAAAGTATGTCCATCCAAAACATTACTAATTTAAGCTAGTTTAATAAGCCAATACTAAGCAACATGGAAATGTGCTACACAGGAGCGTGCATCAAGTGTAAAGAGGATTAGAAATCATTTGCATAATAAACAGGCCAAACAACAAAAAATAAATAAGAAAACCGAGGTAAATAAACCTTGAAATGAGTCCTTGTCTACCTCCATCCATTTGTGATGCACAGAGTTTATTAATCAATATTTGGGGGGCATAATTACAGTTGTTTTACTCATTCTAGGAAATGGAGATTCATAAGTGACCTGTAACAAATGCATTATACGTTCGCGGGGTAATGAGGTCCCTTTCATGCTTTCATTTATCAGTGATTTGGCAAGTCATCTGAGCAGCAGGAAATTAACTTAACACTTCTTAATTGTGTTTTGTGTTTATCTCGATTCCATGGCACCGCTTAAAACCCCAGCAGCTCAATCTTCACAGTCAACATTTCTTAAGCAGTAACGCATATAATGAATCAATGCATCCACACCCATTGCCCATCAGCAGGGCACTTTCCTTCATTAGGTGACCTTCTAAAAAAACACAGCAGTCAATGTTTATCTGTGTTTGTCTGTCTCGATGTCTTTATACCTACACAACAGACCTCCTGCCCTTCACTTCACAATCAACAAGAGTTTCACTTTTATTTTCAGAAAACACAGTGTATATTTGACAGAAATAACACTTGTGAAAAATCCTTGTTGTCTATCAGTCCCAAATGTCATGGAATATGAGGCCTAAACTTGTATGCGTGCATGCATGCATAAATAAAAATTAATGAAGTAATAAATGAATTAATAACACAAATACTAATTGACCCTGATGAATACTGAATAAATACTACAAACTAAATGCTATCTAATTGTATGTGTTACTTATTTCTTAATTTCTGTATTTGTTTTTAACTTCATTTTTACTCTTAGATTTATTTATTTCTTTTTAATTTCTGCAGGTTTGGGCCTCCACAATGGAATACACAGCATACAGGAAACAACTAGTTCAAGAATTGTACTAAATTTGTTCATCATGTTTTAACTTAACGTTTGTCCCTTTGGAGAACATTTATACACAAAGCCTGGTTTTGTCAACTAATTGGCCTAGTTAAAATCCTTAATAGTGAGTGTCTAGAGATACAAGCAAACATAAAAGCAAAAATTATCTGTTCTAACATTTCTTCTTTCTTTTATATGGGATGTAGCCTAAATTCTCTGGAAAATGTAACTTAAATAAATAGAGGAGCTACTTCTGCTTGATTTGGCCTCTAAAATATTTTTATTGATGTAACTTAAACTGTAATGTGCCGTTAGGTTAGTGACTAAACAAAGTCTTGACATTGCAAGCTATGAGTATGCGTTTCAAAAACAGCTGCCAGACACGACAGGCACCATGATGAGATTTGCTAAGGATATCTGCTGATGATGCAATGCTCTTCGATGACTTGGGAAAAATATAAACGTTTCCTCGGATGTCGTGACATGCTTGGCTGCCCTACCCAAGATTCAAGTCTTATCTTGATAGAGTAGGCTTCCGTGCAACTAGTGTTGCAGGGAAAGGTATCTCACTAGTTCTCAAAGGTTGTTTTGATGTACTTACTGTTTTCACTTTTCATTTAACTTAACCCATAGTGTTTTAAATGTTAAAGTCCAGTAGCCTACAGTATTTCGAGCAGAACATTAGAATATAATCTATTTTTCTTAATATAAAATATTTTCTACATTGTCCAACAAGCATTTAATCAGAAAGTTTGTGAATCCACACGGTCGGTTTTTGACTAAAATTGAGGATCCGCCTTCGCTTCAAGATGATTCGTCGGCGTTTTTACACCGACAGCCTTTCTCGCGCCAAGTGTGGGTGTGCGCTCTTTCAGTCAAGATGAGTGACACGCTGAATGCTCTAAGCCCCGCCTCCCAGCTGCCGACGCTATTTGAGTGAGAGACGGCTGTTTTATTCACCCAGAGCTGGTTGCCGGAGCGTCGTCAATGGGAAGGGAACGCCGCGTTGGAAAAAGCGCACACTGTTTAGCCAACTTTCAACTGCACCATGGTTTGCACCTCAGTCTCGTGTTTGTGGACTATATTTTGCCTTCATTTATGTTTTTATGTGAACACTGGAATAGCACAGAACACAAGAGAGGGTGAGTGCTAAAGTTTCCTTCATTGCATCCTGACAGCGCGATCGCGAGAACGAGCAAATCAGTAGTTAGTGCAGATACAGTATCGACAGTCTGACAGACAAACAGACAATATATATTTTTTAATTATTATTATCACACATAAGACAACGATATACGCCTGACTGGGTTTGATATCACGAGTGTGTATTTCCTTGACGCACAGACTTTCGCTAATCAGACACGAAGACGAGTGATTTATAACTGCACATCGCAACTAAACATGATAGACAAAATTTATCCAGTTAAGCTTAACCCTCACAGCCCTCTATCTCCTGGTTATCACGTTCTCGTTTTATCGGAAAACACTACGTGCGTTTCTTTTTACTGCAAAGAGACAACCGCAATACCAAACTTGAAAAGATCTGCTTGATGTGCCTTGTTAACCAACTGGGCAGCAGGTATACAGTCAATTCTGCAACTTGACTGCAACATGTATCACGCTTATTATTTTAAAATACTCATGGGATCACCTTCAGTTAGTAGTAGTATCGGATTTGCCGGGTTGAAAGTCTCATGCAATCATTAAGCAATAGAAGTGCTTCTGTATTACCAAGTTATCGAGTAGGCTACAGATTTAGTATGAAGAGCAGTGTGTTTCTACCGTACATGTCTGCACCGCAAGTATGTACATCACACATCAACATCAACTATGTTAGCTACATATAGCCTGAGCCGAACGTATCGTGCCTCCTTGATGAAATAAGAAATTAAAGGATCAAATCTGTATGTGGTATAAATAGGTCCAATTGATCTTATGGCTGTTTGTTGTAGTTCACTTAGAGGTTTATTGATTACTGAACACACTCAATGACGAATTTATTTAACCTATCAAATTGATTTTAATTATTTTTTAATTAAGGTTCTGATCTCAGCTAATGCCATTTTGAGAGTTTTTAATTACAATATTTAATCTAATTATTTATTTTATTATTTAACCAGCTCCATTTAGTCATATGGCCACACAAAACCCAGATAACGCTTCAACGAAATGTATTTAAATAACAAAACCGAGATTAATTTCACACGCGACGAAGTCGTTCTGTGCGCGCGCGTGCGTATCCGCGTAATATTCTCAGCGGTTCAAACGAAGGAACTTTACCGATTTCTCGATCTAGTTACACCAAAAGCGAAAGCGTGCCCGTCGGTTATATTGACATATGAACAGGTGTCGCACAGGTTTCAGAGGCACGAGGTGCTTATTGCCATAAATCTCCACGGCTGTCTGCTGAAAATGGGTCAAACTCGCGCACTCTCTCGCATTTGGTTTGTATCTGCGCTCGCTCGCGATGTAAAATGCTTCTGGAATATGAGTGAGATGTGTGCCAAACATTAATCACAATTAAAGATGCATTATTGTAAATGTGCGCTTTATGTGTCGTCGGCAGTGATCCTGCTGGATTCAAAGGCGCAGCAGACAGAGCTGGAATGGATATCGTCTCCTCCAAGCGGGGTAAGCTGGAAACTTTACAACTTTTACTTTACAGCAAACATTTATGATTTTCACCTCTTCTGTAATGCACTTACTGCTCATAGTATTTTGAGTGCAACCTAAAATTATGTGGTGGTATAATGCGTTGTTATTTTTTTTTCAGTTGTGAGTCTTTGCACCACATCACAATGTTTCTAAAAAGCTAAACAATAGATAATTTGGTTTTACTTTATACGAAGGTGGTTTTGTTTCTTTTAAAAGTTGTTTGTCGATCCTAAACTAGCTTTTATAAAAGCTTTAAGGAAGGCGTGTAAAATACAGACGCGTTTGTTTTAGATTCGTTCAACTAAGGCCAACAAAGTGATTTTCTGCTGAACTTAGTGTATTAACTTGTTATATTCTTAATTATGTTTTGTTGCTTTTTTATAAGTCTTAGGCATTTTTAACAATTAATTAGAACACAAAATAATTTTGAAAAGTCATAACTAAAAAAAGTAACAGCAATTAAAAAGTTTAGAATGCAGATTTGATGTTGTTAGTCATGTGATTCGAGTGCATCCAATCTTATTTAGAGTTTAAAAATGTTTTCATCTTTGAAACAACATATTTGGTTTTATTCATTTAACTTGTCATAATTTCTGTCAGTTCTGCTCACTTTTATTTTAAACTTGCATTCAGTGTGGTCAAAAAAAGTAGTATTGTGTGTTTGTATAAATTAAAAACTTTTTAATGAGTTAAAACAAATAATAAAAGACACACAACCAACAAGTGTCCAGCATACATGGAATTTAATCGTCCCAAGTTGTTTGAAAGAAGGCCAGAAAATTACTTTTGCCAGTGTAGCCTAAAGTCCTGTTTATATTAAATAATGTTTTTGACTGAATTAAAAGCAGTTAATTTTGATGTCATCACACATTACCACACTTTTTTTTTGATACTTTGCAAAATATTTTTATAGTGGAGTTTGAAAACATTTTGACTGGTAGTGTACATTGTTACTGTTCGGCATGATGAATTGTTTTCAATACATATATGAGTTTTTTTATTTATTTAAAAAAATTTTATGTGGTTATAAGCGTTTGCATTAATTGACAGACACCAACAATAATCAGAACTGCACATATAATTGCAGATCACAAAAAATGAATGTTTTAGGTTAATACTCTCAACAAGAATTTCAAATTCTCAGTTTATGCAAAATTAAGCACCTGGCTGCAGATGAATTCACGTAGATCATCTTATATCGCGGAGCGTTTGGGCATTTGTTCACACAGAGGCCAGTTTTAACATGCTGTAAGATTCTCCCTTGCGGTTAGTTCTGAGCATTTTAGTACAGCACATGATATAATGATGATTAACTGCATTTTACTTTTTCTCAGTGGGAAGAGATCAGCGGCTTAGATGAAAACTACACACCCATTCGCACATACCAGGTCTGCCAGGTCATGGAGCCAAATCAGAACAACTGGCTACGGACTAACTGGATTGAGAAGGGCGATGCCCAGAGGATTTTTGTGGAGCTGAAGTTTACCTTGAGGGATTGTAACAGCCTTCCAGGGGTGGTTGGCTCTTGCAAGGAGACGTTCAACTTGTACTACCAGGAAGCCGACGTGGAGGTGGGCAGGAATATAAGGGAGAGTCAGTATGTGAAAATTGACACTATAGCCGCGGACGAGAGTTTCACTCAGGGTGACCTGGGGGAAAGAAAGATGAAGCTCAACACGGAGGTGCGTATAATCGGGCCCCTCTCCCGCCGAGGCTTCTACCTGGCCTTTCAGGATGTAGGTGCCTGCATCGCTTTGGTCTCCGTCAAAGTGTATTACAAGAAGTGTTGGTCAATTATTGAGAACCTGGCCACGTTCCCAGATACAGTGACGGGATCGGAGTTTTCGTCGCTGGTAGAAGTGGAGGGCACATGCGTTAATGATGCAGAGGAGGAGGCCGACAACTCTCCCAAAATGCACTGCAGCGCAGAAGGAGAATGGCTGGTACCCATTGGGAAATGTATATGCAAAGCTGGATTTCACCAGAAGGGAGATGCATGTGAACGTGAGTACTTTATTTTTATTTGCACACATCTGTTGGCATGTATTAGAGCACCGCTGATTAACCTTACATGAGACAGAAGAAAGGACAATGAAGCAATTAATAAGTTATTATTATGTGTAAGACTCGCTTATGTGTCCATTTACCAAGACAATCCTTGTTCCAATTGTTTGACTGAGTGCCTAAGCATAGAGTTATCCCAACGCGAGGTAATTCATCAGAATTACAGCAAAGCAATGCAATAACAAAACAAACCATGCTGAAAAATACAAAGCAGACGACGGATGATTAATAAAAGAAAAGCAGAGTAAAAAAAAAACACATGCTTATTGGGCAGAGATAATAATGATGGATTAAATGCGGGGGCAAAAATCCTTGGCACAATAATTTGAATCCCTGTTAGTTGTTTGATTTGTGGGCTCTTAATTTATAGCCTTATGCATGTTGACACTGGAATTAAATGATAACTAGCACACCAGCTTAGCTCTCAGAAACAGCCCGCTCTCTTTCTTCTTCTCTTTTATTCTCTTTCCATTTGGCGCCGAGCCAAACCATTCGCTCGCAAACGACACTGTGTCCGGAGGAGGTTCAGCCTGTCGCCCAGTCCCTCTCCGGACCTTTCAAATGACCCCGACAGAAAGAGAAAACAAACAGCCAAGTCCCGGGGTTATTTAGGAAGTGTCCGAACCGGAAACGGAATTACAGTTGCCTCTGATATACTCTGCAATTAAGACTAAAACACTCCAAGTGCCATCGCTGTCACTAATGGTGCTAAGCGTTGTTTTTTTGCCGGTCACATGACACATGATTAGGATCTGAGGGATAGGAGCTCTTGGTGTTGTGTGGTTTAAGTGGCCGTCCACCCTTTTTTCTGCCGATCTGGGTCACCTCCACCTCTATAGATTATCAAGTGTGCAGACCAGTAATGATTAATCAGATATCTCTGGAAGGTTTGGATAGCTTTTATGTGGTGCACATACACGTCTGCATTATTAAGTTATCATGTAAAGGGTGCTTCAGAACACTATTATGTTATCAAAAGCTAAAATGGGCAAGGCTGCTTCATGCTGAGAGGTTGTTGCAAAGCTGAAAGCCATTTTAAAAGCCAGAAAGGGAGCAAAGGAGAAAGCTGATGGTGCTTCTATGTAATATGGGCTATTTGGCACACATTAAGCATAATAAAAGGATGCGTTTTACATCTTTTTTTTTTTTTACAATTCTACCGTTTTTTAACCTATGAAATATTCAGGAATTTTTACTCACTCAAAGCAAAAAATAAAAAAATAAAAAAATAAAAGTGAAATTTGCATGCGGTGTGAAGCAATGCCGAACTCTCAGAAAGTCTCGAATGCTTTTCCAGAGAATTAATCACTGTTCACGAAGCCATCTTACATTCCTCAAAAACAATGTTGCATGTTTCTCGGCAAGCCGGCAACAAACAAACCTTGTCACCCATTTCGATTCCTGACCCCTTCCATTGTCACTTTATGAGTTGTGCGTCGCTCCTGGCATGAGTGGTTGTGATATTACCACTGTAGTTAATCTAAATAAAATGAGCATGAGACTGCCGCATCAGCACTTCCTCTTAGCGATCCCCCTGATATTAAATTGCCTGTTCAGAGTTTCCTCCCGAGCACCAACCAGACTGAAATATACTGTTGTGTTTTCCCCTTCTGTTGGAGAAACAGCAATGCAGTGCACGGTATCTGGGGCTGAAGGCCTGTGAGTGACAGGGGTCTTTTTAATATGGAGGACTGATCTTTCCAAGAGTATACAGCTCATGTTGCAGCCCTCTCTGTCTTTTTCTTTATCTTTTCTTTCTTTTCCTCCCCTCAGGGGCTCGGCCAAGACACTGTGACCCTGATGCCTTCAAAAGCTCCTGTTTTTACACCACCTTATCGTGTTCTGTTATAAAATCTGCACTATTTATATACGGATACGCACACAAACAGACGCTCATACATACGGGATAAAGTCTAAAATGTCTTGCATTAAAAATTGAGTGGGGAAACCTAAGGAGGGCCATGAAAATGTGTGTTTTGACTTTCTTTTCCTCCCCTCAGGGGCTCGGCCAAGACACTGTGACCCTGATGCCTTCAAAAGCTCCTGTTTTTACACCACCTTATCGTGTTCTGTTATAAAATCTGCACTATTTATATACGGATACGCACACAAACAGACGCTCATACATACGGGATGAAGTCTAAAATGTCTTGCATTAAAAATTGAGTGGGGAAACCTAAGGAGGGCCATGAAAATGTGTGTTTGGTCATCTCATTCATCAGATGCCTGAGGATTGTGTGTCTTTCATTTCTTCCTCCTTTTTCTCCTTCCTCTTCCTGTAAGTGGGCATTTGCACAACACACTCTTGCATCCTTTGGCACAGTATTTTAAGTTAAGTTAAGCAGATGGTTTTGACTGTTGTGACGAGTCTTGAGCCATGTTGAGTATGTTTGGGACGTCACCAACTTTTAAAATGTCAAACTTTTTAAAAACCTCTAAAACTGTCTTTTTGTGAACAGTCAACTCTTAAAGGGATAGTTCACCCTAACATTTTGTCATCAATTATTTTCTTTCTTCTGTAGAGCACAAAATAAGCTATTTTGAAAAATATACAATGAATGTCAATGGGGCCCAAAGACCCCATTGACTTCCATTGTATGACTAGAAACCTTCAAAATATCAACTTTTGTGTTCCACAGAAAAAAATAAAGTCACACAGGTTTGGAATGACATAAAATTTTGGTCATCCCATAACTTTTTTTTCTCCATCCCTTGCTCTTTTCAACTCATTTTGTGGCACTCGTGGCTTCACTCCTAAATGCTTTTCCAGAGATCCGCTCATCACAGTAAAAATAATTAGTGTTATGAGTGTTGGAAAAAAAGCAATTTGAAGAGTTCAGCAGCATGCCAGAGTTTATTTGCATAGAGCTCGAGCAAAAATAGCTTCTATTCATTTGCGAAGCTCTGTTCAACAGTGGTTACTCAGAGAAAATGGAGACACTAAGTCCTTTGGAAGCAGAAAAAGAGTCCTTGTAGACAGACATTGATCTCTTTGTTTTCGTTAAGCTTTTGCGAACAATCAGTGGAATGTATGTTGCTCAGTCACATCACGTCACGTTAATAACCGTATCTCGTCTAAAGAAATGCCAAATATTAACCGATAGTTGACCTACTCTTCCAGTTTGCATTATTTACAAGGCAAACCTTTGTTTATTATTCTAAGGGGAAAAACAAGCTAGCGTTGGCTAACATGCTAACAGGAGGAGGTACTGGCAACGGCAGGCGCTGACACCATCCATCTCCCAGATGTCAAATAGTTGGACAGAAGTTAGTCAAAGCCTGATGGATTGCCAGAACACAGAAGGAGGGCACTAGTTGTGGAGACAAGCTGCAGAAGTAGCTGGGGTGGAGGGACGCAAGAGCAAGACCATGCTTTGCATTTCAAATGATTCCACCAGGAGCTGGGGGCGGGCAGATTGTATAAAGCCCTGACACACAAGTGATTGATAAGGTGTGAAAGTAAAGGCTACAAATGGTCATCCGTTAGAGAACTGTAAGTGGGCTTAATTATTCAAACTGAGGCAAGTTCCTCGGGGAAGCCCGTTGGGTCTGAAACTGTCAGGGTTAGAATCATCTGCTGATGGATAATGGCCTTCTCGCCCGGCCAGGGTCTTGGAGAAGAGTGGCGTGCTCCCGGAGCACTGCTTGATTTTCCCCCGTGGTTTTGTCAGATGGAAGGTGGCTTTGAACACGAGCGGAGCTGTTATTGTGTTGTGTCGTCAGTCAGGCCTGTCAGTTGGCGCCAGTCCAGTTATTGATGTGTTATAGTAGCTTCATGTTCGCAATCACGTTTCATTGGATCAAAAAAGTTCTTAGGTAAAATGCAGAACGGTTAACAAACTGTCATTCATAATTAAAGCACTATTCACTAGATTCTCACTAGATTATTCTGAAAATAATTATATTAAATAATATATAATAACAAACAAACATAAATAAATAAAATGTAGTCACTGAGATGGCATTCACACCATTTTTGGAAAACTTTCAAATTACACTGTGCTGTAATTTCCTATTCTGGAACAAATTACTCTTTTGAACTGGTTCTTTTTATTGAATCAATCCAAACAATTCATGAAATAGTCTGTTACTTACAGGCAACTTAGTTGTTTTACTTGGATTCCCTCGCTCAATGATTCATGCAATGTTCACTGAATGAACTATGAGTGATTCTTTGATTTGATCTGATTAATAATAGTTTAATATTTAAACTAATTAATAATAGTTAATAAAGATACGTATTAAAAATTTTTTGTAAAATGTTATTATTTAAACTAATTAATAATAGTTAATAAAGATACGTATTAAAAAATTTTTGTAAAATGTTATTCTATTCCCCGGTTTCACAGACAAGGCTTAAGCCTAGTCCTAGACTAAAATGTAAGTCTGCGCTGTTTTAACTGAAAGAAACTCGCACTGACTGATCTTAAAATTTATCAGTGCTTTTGTTTTGTCTCAAGATGCACACCAGTAATGTTTTTTCTAAGGCATGTTAATAAAAATTACTTAAATGTCCTAATTGAACTATGGCCTAATCCTGGCTTAGTCTAAGCCCTCTGTGAAACCGGGCCTATATGTTACAAAAAAATATTGGTTATTGTCTAGCAAAGAAAATACAAGGTTGATTTGAATCAAGTGAGTTGAATACACAGTTTTTTTGCAACTGTTGTACACTAACTGATACTAACAATTGTAAAGCATAAATGTGCATCCCCTTGGATCTAGACCACAGCAGATAATTGTGATTAAACGTAAGCATGGACAACATCACTTCTGAACAACCATCTATATCAAGCAATTCTGTAATTTGTCAACAGAGCTACCTAATGATCCATTAAAGTAGCCAATGGCTCCCTTGTCATTTTCAGGAGTCCTGGTTGTGATATTAGCACAGTAAAAAAGGACATTTTCATACTAGAACAAGCCTCCTTAGACTTCCT